TGCCTCTATTATGATCAGTTTGAGGATTTATAGCAACTAAAAAGTTGGACCGTGCGTAATTTACGCAGCCTCTTATTAACATTATCTGAGGTATTTTTTTAAGTTCCCGTCTTCTTTCCAGAAACACGGGAAAGTTTAAGTGCTGCACTCGAGTCTTTTGCAACAGCACACAGCAGGAGAGGGAAATATCCTGGTTTTGGCGTGATTGTGTGCAGGTGAGAAAGTCTCGGCTGTACGGGAGCACTTTGATGCGCTCAGCTGTCGGCGTTGGCCCGGATTAGCCTTTAAGTGTCTCTATTTGTTAAAGCGGCCAGCCCTCACCTCCACACGGCCGTATCAATCAGTCAATTAAACAGGCACTCACACAGGGCGAGCTGCACGAGACCTCAGCCGGTGCATCTGTGTGTGTGTGTGTGTGTGTGTGTGAGAGAGAGAGAGAGAGAGAGATGGAGAGAGATGGAGAGAGATAATTTACTTTCATAAGTGGTGTTAGAAGGTATGTGTGTATAATGGCAGAACTCGGTTGTATTTATATTTCTGTTTCCTGCTGCTAAATGCTCCGTATTCTGCTGCGGGGTGTAATTAGGCTACACTTGCTAATACTTTTGTTTGCTATTATAGTTTTAAATCATTTATTTCTCGGCTCAAAGTTCACTGAAGTTCCTTCAAGTCGCCTTGAAGAGCCCGAGGTTTCAAAGAATTTCCTAGAGCACAATATTTTTGTGATTCCCAGTTGTACACAAAATCAACTCTCCACCAAAAATATCTGAACAGCTACAAGTCTCGGACTATCTGTGACCGTTTGACAGTGTGTTCACGAATGCTGAAGTTTACTCCGACAGGAGTGAAGCTTGTGATGTGTGTGTGTGTGTGTTTCTAGTCTCGCATGGGAGATTGTTTCAGAAGTGGGCGCATCGATACAGTGCGAAACCAAACATGAAAAAAGTATCTGGAATACTTTTTAGCCCATGTGAATTCGCTGGTCTCTGCCTCAGATTTTTTTCTTTTAGGTGTTTACCTCCTTACAACTTTGATGCATATTTATGTGCGCCGTGGGTGTACTCCATCAATTATTTGTGTCAGTATATTTCCAGATAAACAGTGTTTCTAAATCAATACATGCATGTAACTATTGCAGATTAAGAGATCGATCAATGGATCCACCCTAACCCCAACCAATGTTGTTTTTTGGCTTAAACTTTACACATCAGCCTGCCTCAACAAAGTGCTTGCATGCATGTGTGGCTGTGTTGGAAAATGCATGCGTCCCCTGACATAAATACTGAGGGTTTATAAATGAGGAACCATTAGGTTGATATGTTTAATTTGGTGTAGACAAATGAAATTATCAAAATATGTAATGATGATGATGATGCTGATGATATGGATGTTTCGATTTCTAAATGATCCATGGAATAAGTCAAATAATTCTGTTACCGTGTATTTTATTTAATAAATTAAAGTCATATTGTTTTGTTTTTTTCCAACTTTCCATCTAGCGTCCAGCATCACTCCCCAGGCTTCTGGCCTCAAACGCTTCGTCCTGTTTTCTGTGAACTTTCTCAGCAACATGTTGAACCACGCTCGTCAATGAGACCAGGCCGTTTAACTGGATTATTCCTCCGGTTTGGTGGCGCTTCACACTGGCCGCACCATCCGTCTCTCAGCTGTCAGTGCTTGGACGCAAACATTTCCGACGTTAAATGGCATTTGGGGAAATTTCTCCCCACGTCACCGACCCTCCACTCCTTCATCCTTCACCTCTGCACTGCTGGCTCTGAACTCGTTAACTCGTCCGGTTACATTTGTTAAAATATCTTAACACTGCCGCAGTGTTTTTCAGCACAGGCTCTGCAGGCAGGAATTATGAATGTGTCTCAAGT